GGCGAGGGAGGTAAGGAAGAAGAAGGGGATTGGCGAGGAAGAAGTGCCGGCAGCCATAGCTGACGGGGGAGTTGACCGAGAGGGTTGACCGGAGGCGTTGACCGGAGTTGACCGAGGGTCATAGCAGCGTTGACCGGCGTTGACCAAGGCCGTTGACCAAGGCGTTGACCAAGACTTTGACCAAGCTGGAATTAGTAACATCTCGCCAAGCCCTTAGCCTGCCCCTTGCCCTATGGATGTGCACATACCCCTTGGTACTTGCTGAGTCTGTCTGTCTATTCTTTCTGCATTGAGTCTCTTCTGTCCTAGGTCATAGAACTCTGTGGATGAAGGATAGGGCCTTGCTGCCAAACCTGCACGAAACTCAGTAGGACCAATCTCTACTCTGGTATCCGGAGACCTGGGCATGAGCGGCGAGCGCTCGTTAAACAACTCGTCTAGCCCAATGACCGGTACTGTCCGGCAGGTCTGCTCAGTTTCAGTGTAGAGGGTCCGAACTCTGAGCTGCAGGCTGATAAGTGTTGAGGGCCTGTTGGAACCACTCCCCTACCAGACCAAGTAAGGCTGATGATCTGTGTTTGACGACTCGACTATCCCGGGGGATACGAACCCTCCCAAGGACCGGTACAGACCAGCAGGCTGCTCGGTGTGGCACAGTAGGCTGGAAAGGCTGAGTTGTGGGCTGAAAGCACAGGCAGAACCAAGCTGATCACATCGTCCTGTCTGCGACGTTAAAGAATTCTTGAGGAGTTACGGGGGATCTCCTTAAATGCCTCCTGATCAGCCACTGGTTCAGTAGTGACAGCCATAGTGTAGGTCTAGGCTAGAGACCATAGTTGACAGGATCCCTGTCAGGATGCTGTGAGTCTTAGATTGAGTCAGTAGGTCTGTCAGTCAGGGCTTGACGTCTACGTGGTGAGGTTTGGAACCACTAACCCGGTTGTACACTTATCACCATGGTTGAGACCCGTAGTGGGAAGGAGACTAGCCCCTACACCACCGAGCAGCAAGAAACGATGGTCGCCTTAGTCAGAGAGAGTAAGGAGAGGAAAGAGCGTGAAAAGCAAGCCAAGCTAAAGGCTATCGCAGACGAGCAGGCGGCGAAGATGAAGAGATTGGAGGAGGAGATGAAGAAAGTACAACAAGGAGGAAGAAAGAAGAAAAGTTGCTGAAGCAGAAGCGGCAACAGAAGAAGAGAAAGAGAGGATGAGGATCGAGAGTGGAGAAGGGAGTAGTAGTGGCACGATGACGAGGGAGACAGATACAGGGCTGGAGAAGAGGATCAGCGAGTGGGTCGCTAATTTATCGTTGGGAGAAGATGCGCGAGAGACCTGGTGAAGCTAGCCGCCTTCAGGGCCTGGAAGGCCACGAGGACTTGCTCCTCTGTTAGGATATGCTGCAAGTAAATATAACTGTTGACACTGGCTTCCCGGTTTTCAAAGTTCTCTTCCTTCTTCCCCCCGTACGCATGTGGGAACTTGAGTTTCACTGGGTCCTTACGGGGTCTGGTCTCTCCCTCTACAGCGGCTACAGCCTTGGCACCCTGAATGGCGCCCTCACAAAACTTCCCTACATTATCTCTCAATTGCTTTACTTCGCCCCCAATATGGGTGACGAACTCGCGCGCAAAATCTCAAACCCTGACCGCATGGCACTCAACGCTACATCCTGGCTCCAACTTGCCTGGCGCTCCTCCATCCAGGTCTTGCTCAACACCTCCAGATACCCCAATACTTTGTCCCACTTGGCCTTATCGTCTGGTTGGGCCAGCACCTCCACTCTACACTCCTGCACCTTTGCCACCTCTGCCGTCATCTTGTTCACTTCCTCTCTCCTCTTCTTCTTCTCTCTCTTCATCCTTAGCTTCCATGCTAACTTTTGTTCCTCCTCCCTCTCTCTTCGTTCCATCAGGTCTGTCATAGCTGCTAGCTCGGCAGCCAGCGCAGCCTTCTCATCCTTAGTCACATAGGACTCCGCCTGACCCAACGCGAGGCATTACAGCCTCTGATAAGCTCCAAACGATCCACTCGTGGCAGTGGAGGAGTGCTAAGGCACTCAAGRGTACTATGGACGACTTGGTAGTCGTCCCGGACCTCGGGGTCACTGAACCCCAGCTGGTCCAGTTGTTTTATCGTGCCATTCCAAAAGCCCTACGCGGGCATTTCTTTGATAAATCTCAGCAAGCCGGCATGACTTACGATGTATTGAGTACAAAAGTCGTCCTGTATGAGTCGAAGTCTATGTCAGTTACCACTTTCTGGCATAAGGACCTGGAGAAGGGGAAGAAGTGGAAAGATCGTACCATCTCGGGCCAAGTTAAGGCCAAGGATCACTTGATCCTGACATTATAGGAGGGTGGTAAGGAAGAGGTCCCATATGATCAGATTGAGTGGGGCCTAGGGGAGGAGTACA